ACTAATATTCTCAAGCATTCTACTCTCTTAAACCACTGGGTTTAATCTTTAAGCTTCAGCTCAACCAGGGAATGGCTGTCCCCCCAAAAAAGGAATCAGCAACAGGCTTTTCCCTAAGAAAGGAATCAGCAGTCAATCAAGACATGGCTACCCCTACACTTTTATGAATCACCTACCTGACTCATGACTGTGGATCCATTTGGGGCACAATTTTTTTTTTTTTTAGGCCCAGAATCCTCCAAAATAGGTCACAAAAACATATTAATCTGTAGTCTTTCTACAGCTAAAGCTGAAATTATATTACCAATTCTATTTCTTATCCCAGATTATGACTAGCATATTATCTAGCATTTCTATCTGATCAAATAGAATTAGATCAAATGACTTAAAATCTAAGAATAAAATTTTAATACTATAGAGATACTTTTTAAAAATAACCTCCTTAAATTATTAAATTCCCAAGGAGAAATTACAGTCCAAAGATTAAATAACCTTGAAGTTCAAATACAAAAAACATTAAGGTTCAAAGCAATTAGAGCCTTTAGTCAAATTCTCATGACATTGTGATGCTAAAATTAGACTATTTAGGTGAAAGTCCAAAACTCACTCTGAAGAATTTCTTCTGCTTTCTCTCAGTCAGAGACATTCTCAATGACTAGAATGGGTATAGTTTCTTCAGAGATTCAGAAATTTTATCATGTCAAAGACAAGTTTTTACGAGATACATTTTAAAGAGCCTAAGGAAGTCATCTGGAAAAAAGGTGAAGTTGAATCTATATCAAACTCCATGATCATTGATAAACTCAAAAGGAATCAAAGATGTACACATAAAAAGAAAAGAAAAATGCAACCATAAAAGTACTAAAAATAAAGGAAAGAAAAATTCCTTTATAAACTTTCAGTGAGAAAATTTCAAACTATGACTCAAAACCCATAAAACAAAATACTGACATATTTTGCTACATTAAAAAAAAATAAGTATTTTCAAAAGATAAATGACCCAATTGGGAAAAAAATATTTGAAACTCACATCACAAGCAAAAGGTCCATCTCCTTCATACAAAAAGAGAGCAGACAGATATCAAATGAAAATAAAACAGTAAAAGGTCCCTAGAAAATGGATAAAGAACCTGAGAGCCAGGTCACAGAAAAATAAATTCAAATGGCCCTTAAACAAATAGAAAGATTTTCAATTTATTCATACCTGATTATTCAGTAATAAATACAAATTAAAACAAGACTGAAAATGTTTTTCACCCATCAGGCTGGCTAAGCATTTCACAATACTTTGTTGATGAGGCTATAGCAAAGCAGAACACACTATAAGCAGAATTCAAAACTATAGAGGACCTACAGAATTTTTCAGTATATAAACAATACTACATATACATTTACATTTTGATCCAGAAATTCAACTTCTAAAAATATATACTACATATATACCTGTCAAGAGTGACAAGTTTATAAGTTTACTTTTTACCACACTATTTGGAATTATAAAAGAATGGAAATCACCCAAGTGCCCATTAACTGGAGACTGTTTAAATAAACTCTGATACATTCACTTAATAAAATATTAATATACTATGTAGCTGTAAAAAAAGAATAAGCAGCTCTCTAGGTACTGATATGGAAATACTTCCAAAATATGCAGCTCAGTAAAAAAAAAAAAAGTGCAAAACAGGTATAAAGTTTGCTTTCTTTTGTAGAGAAAAGGAAAAATTAAGAACATATATTCATATTTGCATGTATTTGCATTTAAAAAATTACACAGAGGGCATATATAGTATAAGACCTACTAAATAGTTTACCAAACTAGTTGAGCCAGGCTGCCTGGGTTTGTCTCTGCCACCTAACACATTAGTTAACCTCTTTGAGCCTATCTATGGAACTCATAGGAATTCTCACCTCATAGGGTGATACACAAAATAAATGAGTTAACGTTTACAAGTATACAGGGCAGTATTGGGTACTTAAGTATCATATAAGTGTTTGTTAAACAACTAAAAGTAAAACCTGCAGGGGATAGAATAGAAGTAAGATTTGTCAGTGTATGGTTTTCTTACATTACTTTAGGTTTTGAACTTCAGTTTTTGTTTTAGATATATGGCACAATAGTAAGTGAATATATAAACTGAACAAAACTGGCCCTATACTCATGAAATTTAAATACAAGCTATTTCCAGATCCTAGAATAGTCATCCCAAGAAACTGTGTTCTTAGAAATCAGAATTGGATGGATCTAAAGGAAGAAGGGGGATATTCTTGGAAATATGCTTGGTTTCAGATTTACCAGGATGTCTGTCAGTTTGTGTGAGTAGTAAAGATTCCAAAAACTTACATCAATACATTAATTCTATGATTCATTATATTTGGGACCGAATGCATTTAGCATACTGTCGCCTCTCTCAAAGAGTAACATTTGAGACATTGCTACCTTCCAGAAAGTTTAAATGGTTGCAGTCAGGACCACCAGATTTATCTGAAGTATAACATGTTTTAAAAAAACCTCTCATTTTTGTTACCTGCTTTAACCTACACTTTCTGGCACTGTGGTACTGCTGGAAGTGGAGACTCTACCTTGTGAAACCAAGCCTGCTATCTCCAGTAAGCAGATTATTTTCAATCCTATATCACAAGTGGCTCTTTCCAAAACCTCTTGTTATGGAATCCCTGCCTCTTAGAGAGGGTTTCCCTTTTTCCATTTGTTTCATCTGGAAAATCACTCTCAAAGATTTCTGAACTGAAGCTATAATTGATGCTTCTGAAGCCTAAGACCCTAGAGGCCCAGTGAGACCTAGTATATCTTCCATGTGCTTCTTCAAGCACTGTCTTTCATCACTGAATTGTTCAGACTTTGAACAGAGTTTTTTTCTGCTATATATTTTTTCTGCAGTAATGAAATATGCCTCTAGTTTTTATTTCCTTCTACTCTTCTCCTACACCTTTCATAATGTTTGTTATTTTTTTTAGCTATTTAATCTACTAAGGAAGTTTTTTGTAACTGCTTACCCTGCTTATTACTTTGGTTTCTTCTACAAAACATATAGGATTATATTGTCATTTGCTGCAAATAAGTATGTGCCTTTCCTTTTTATCTTTTCTAGACATTATTTTTTTTCTAATATATTTCTCTATCTTAAATTCCAGAATCATCTCTACTATCAATGATAAAAATCACTAAATTCTGAGTTTACTCAAAGCAAACTATTGTTTGAACAAATCTTTTCTTCGCCACTTCCCTGGGATGGATAATACCACACAGGAACATTTTTTCCTATCAAACCAACATTAAGCCCATCCAAGCCAGGATGGACCTAACTCTTCTTTCTGCCTGTCTTCTTTCAATATGCTTCATCTTGCTGAGCACTGTCTTGAGGCCTAATTCTTGGGCATATTCTTCAAGGCATAAACTACACGTCTACACAAACCTACAATGACTATATTACCCTAATGACACTTTGTTTATTCCATAGATCTTCCTACTCTTTCCCAATCTTTAAGGTGCTGTTCTAATGATTTTTATGTCATCCTTTATCATCACCTCTTAATAATGTCCCAACTCTCTTTGAAGAAGTCATTCTATTTGAAATCTTGCCTTTCTCTTTTTTGACTAATTTGGGACCCAGGCCCCTATTTGAATCTAGTAACAACTAAACACCTCGCCCTTTTCCAATATTCTGTTGTACTGCATTTAGACCCCCTTGAATCTCCATTTCTCTCTTATAGATGTCTACTTGAACTTCAAATTCTTATTTTTTATGTCACTGTCATCAGGTTTGTCAACTAATTTCTCAAGTTTTCTCCTAAAAGAGTGTTATTTTCCTCCAGCCTTTTTTTTTGTTCCCATTCTTCCATTGTTCTATATTAACCCTGAAGCATAACTTTTAAACTACTCTAACACCTTAAACTTCTAGGCAAAATCAACTATTAGAACCAGAGCATTCCAAATCCAAGCCTTTTTTACTTGATTTCTTAGCCAGTTTTTGTTAAGTTGTTTCTCATCCTCAATTTAATAAGAAGGTATATGCTTTCTTCAGTAAGGGCCTCCATTCTTTTTTTAATTTGATATCCACCAGTCTCCTATGGGTGGAGTAACAGTTCAAATCTCAGCCATCAAAAGTCTGGTTGGACTGTATGGAATTATCAAACTCAGAGCCACTTGAGATCAAGGCCTAGGAACAACTTTTAAACCAATAGACAAATCACATGACTCCTTGATTTGTCCTGCCAACACTGCCTCTCTTGACTCTGAAAAGGAGTCAAAACAATATAAAAAAAGATCAGAATTTGAGCAGACAGTCTATGCTACCAATCTATCCCCGAGACTAAATATTTCCCACATGTACTGCTGGACACAGTATAAACACTTTGAGACCTGAAAAAGACTCTGTCTAATCAAATCCTTGCTCAGACAGGCCTACTTAGAAAAAAATTATGTATTCAGAGTTCAAGGTGGAATAAGTATTCATCTAGGACCCGTGAAATAAAGATGTCTCAGTACTCTTGGTCAGATTTTGCTTGCAGAGCCCTTCAAAGTTTGCTGCCTTTGCTTTCAGCCCAAAGTATGCTGACTTGCCTCTACAGAAATGGGTGTTTACTTACATGAAAACAGCACTCTCCCACGGACAAATGCCATAAGCCACAGCAGCCCACCACAGTTGAAACTATGTGGTCGGTGCCTAGTCCAGTACTGTCAAAGTTTAACACCTCCCATTCTAGCCCTACCAGTAGTTTGCCAGAAGTTTTAAGCCACAAACATTTTACAACACAGAATTCCCCTTTCTCATTTTCTCTTGTTTCCCACTCTGTGTCCTAAATGCTGGGGTGTGGCGGGCCCGATAGGTACCATCGCTCTTTCCTCCTGAGACAAATGAAAGAAAAAAAGTAAAGCAGTAGGAAAACCAAAATATTTCCTTATAACTGCCCGAGAAGATATTAAAGACTGGCTTATAACGGCGGGCTTAGGCACACCGAACCCAGTACACACACAGACTTACCCAACGACGTTGTAGGCAGATCCAACGGAAGATGGGGCAGCGGCACAGCCGTAAACTCTGCACCCGCCGAACTCCGCACCGTACAAACTCACCGAGCGCAGAGCAAAACCGGCGCTTCCTGTGGGCAGCTTCGGCCTTAAGAGGAACGGAAGGGGCGGGAACACGCGGCTTTCCAAGCAGACCAATCAGAAAACTGATTGCCACTGCCACATGCAGATTTAAAGAGACAAGAGTTTGTGTGGTGTTCTTCCATGTGTCTGTCCTTAGTGAAGGAAACAGCATTAGGATTAAGTGTTCCCACTCACCAGCGCAATGCATAGTTTTGCCTGGAGGGATTCCTTTTCCATGTCACAGCTGTCTCTTGGCAAGCTCACTGGATCTTTCTCTCAGTGACATACATCTTCATCCCACCTGGTCACAAGGAAACTTTGAGATGCTTGTAACTGCAAAGTGAGCTACAGGTTTCTCGTACCTGACCTCTCCTAGGCCTGAGAGGTTGTTAATTATGGTAATGATATAATGTACTCTCCAATTGAAAGTGGAAGAGGGTAGTAAAACAAATAGAGTAAGTTTTTGAGATTTTATACAGATAGACTTATAAAGAGGGCAGTTCAAAATTCATTTTGTAAAGTGAAGTTATTTCTAAAAATTAAAATAACTATATTCAAGCAAGAATTTCTAAAATGTCTTTATATTTATAATTTGAACATTAAAAATAACAGAATGACAATTCTTGTGTTGTCCTATTGGTGTATTTTAATTAGCACTTCCTTCTTAATCATCTGTAATATAGGATGTAGAGAAAATCGAAGTTCCGTGGTGGATTCTCACCTAACCCTGGTTTGCTTGTCCACTGCCCATATGTGATGCTCACAGGTGATTGCTTACACACCTGTTAGCAACGAGCTATTATTGACTCTATATAAAGAGCTCCACCCAGCCCTCAGGGCTGCAAGGTGGTGGGGAGGCCTGGAGGCAGCCATGGGCTCGCTGCATGCAGACTTGCCCTGAGCAGACGGGAGTCTAGCGGTTGACCTGCCACCATAGAATAAAGCTGGATATCAACCATTTTACTCACAATGTTGAGTTGTAATTTTTCGGTATCACCTAATCCAGAATGAATTTGCCTAGGGCTGGAACCCTCAGATGAGATACAGGGGCACTAGTTTTCTGATGAATATGATTTAATAACCTTCTTAAATATGATATTATTGCTTTAACTGTTTTATTAAATTTGCAGTCATCTCAAATATTTATTTCATGGTTGATTATGGGAAATTTTTACACCTTCAATTTACTCTTCACTGTACAATATTTTAAATAAACTCAGAAAAATACTAAACAAAATATCATTTCTAGAAATATATAAATTTTTTAGCCTAAATATTTTCACAAGTACTGTACTTTTTCTCTTATTCAGAGTACCAGTCTCTAGCAAACATTTGTATGACATGAACTTTATAAAAAAAGTTTTCCATTATTCATTATTCTTTTGAAGGTTTTGCCAAACTCAGATGCCATGAATTGGAAAGCCTTTTAAATTTCATTTTATTTCTCTAAGAATATTAATTTCTTCAATTACAATAGGAGCTCCACCAAAAACTCTCCATGTGGATTAGAATATCCAAGGTATAAGTACAGAATTTCAAAATTAAATTTCATACATCATTTAAAATCCAGTTGAACCTGTTAGGTTATTTTCTGATTTTGTAGGGATAAATTTAAATGTTTTCCTGTGTCACAGCTTTTTTTTCAATAACTGCAATCTGTAAAATCTTCAGAATCTGAATTTTATTAGCACAATGTTTGAATTGTTTGATTAAAATTTTCTAAATGATTTTTAACACACACAACATTCATAGAAAGTTCAGTAACTCTGTAGACCATTTCAATTTGTTAACTGTTTTTAAAGAATGAAATATTTGTAAAATTCGATTTAGGAGCAACAGAGAGAGAAAACATGTGCTATTATGTTGGAATCCTTTTTTTTTTTTTTTTGGTACTCAAGTCTAGTTTTATAGCTTGATTCATACAGCCCTACAGCTTGACCATCTGCATGATATTATAAGAGGCTTTGCTTCATGCTCCCTGACAAGTTTTTGTTTTATTTTCTTTTTAAAATGGGTTCCATGCTGTTTGACAGAAATGACACTTCCATTTATTTATATCACATGAACTGCTTATATATATAGACTGTCTGAATTTATGAAACTGCACCTCAAAAGCTAATTAAAAAAATTTCTCATTTCAAATTGCTGCTTAATTGGCTCAAGTGCCAACCCAGTATACTTTTTGCATACATCTCCAGCCCACTCCAGGTCTGGAATCAATTAGCTAGGTGAAGAGATAGTTAAGGGGAGAGAATGATATAATAGCACAAGGATATTGTGTCTTTACTGTCACAATCCCAAAGCTCAGAGTCCTTTATTTAATTGTGCTGCTATTTTTAGCTAAGGTTTAGCAAGAAGGGGCTCTATCCTGTTAATTCTTTTCCCTGGAACCTGAATGACCTCTGATTTTCACACCCTGCCAAGAGAAACATATCCAGTTCTCTCACAGTGTTATAAATGTAAAGATATGTATCTGTTATGGATTTTATTGAAGAATAAATGATTATTCCTCTATATCCTCTCCTCTGGATTGCTGTTTGACTATTAGGTAGTGGTAGTAAATACTACATCAAGTGACACAGGTCAAAGAGAAATACTAGCTTGGGTTATTTTTTCATAGGCTGAAATTCTGTACTGATTGTAAAATTAATTATTCAAAGACCATTTGTTTTGTTTTGCTTTATAAGTATTTCAATGTAGAGAATCTATGGCCAACACAGCTAAATTCCACAGAAGCTTTCAACTGCCAAGAAGTTGTGAAATGCTGTCATTCGTTAAACAGGCCACTGAATAATGTTAATGTATGTGACAGATTAAAGTTGGCTGCAACACTGACACTCTTCCCTTTCAGAGGTAAGTTCTGTGTCCCCTCTCCTTGGATCTGAGAGGATTCTGTGACTACTTTAACCTGTAGAATATGGCACAAATGCCCTATTTGTGCCACTTTCTAAGATGGGCACTAAAATACATGGTGCTTCCACTTCTTATCTTTGGAATGCTTGCTCTGGGAAAAGCTAAGAAAGTCCTGTAAGATGTTTGATTTTTGAGACTTCCAAGCCATGAGAAAGCACAAGATGGTCATATCGAAAGATCAATCCTCAAATAGTCACCACGACTGTAGCCCTCTTGGTTCAAACGTCAGGCCTCAGAGGAAAATCATCCCTCTGACTCCACCCTCACTTGCTATTTAACTGCAACTGCGTAAGAGGCACCAAGTGAGAACCACTCAGATGAGCCAAAAGAACAATGGGGAAAATATAATCAATTGTTATTTTAAGCCATCAAATTTTGGAGAAGTTTGTTAGGCAGCAGTAGAAAACTGGGATAACATCCAACATTTATTGAGCACTAAACTATGTGCCAAGACTTTTCAGAACCTATTCACATTCATCAACTCCTTTAAGCATTAAAACCATTCTTGAGATAAATATCCTTACTTGACTGATGAGGAAACTGAACAGCAGTGAGTTTTATAATAAACATAAATTCACACACTATTAGGTGATACATGAATCTAGAGCTCCTGAACCACCACTGTGCTAACCTGTCTCTATGTAGTAGGTGAGGCACTATATTGTCATGTTATGTATCTCAGTTTGAAGTCTTCCACTTACAGTGTTGTGTGTATGTTTGCTTGCTTAATAATTTATGCCAACATCCGTTAAACTCATCAAAAATATTTTCAGCTTCATCATATCAGGTGGTAAGATGTATATAAACTATGAAGACACTGTAAAGAAAGACTAAATTTGAAAGTAAAATCACTACCATTACTACAAAAACATATCTATGTCATATACATATGACTCAATTATTTATATAGTACCAGATATGCTGCTTCTCTCAAGAGAAATAAAAAGTGATACTAATTCTTGAATACGAATCACTTGTATATAATCTCCATCCATACCATATTACCAGCATAGATCATGTAGTCTGAAGAGTAACCTTTAAACGTTAAAAATAAAACAAAATATTAGGTCATGCATAGTCTGTTCTTGAAATGTTTATAGCTAGGAGTAGCTAGAAATTCCTAAAGAGAAAAACATGTTAATACAGGGGACACAACAAATCACTTTTTACATTAAAACAGTTCATTTTGCTTAGTATTTCTGCCTTTCCTAGATTTTTATTTCCACAGCTTCCTTTCTATCTTTAAATTATTATTACATAATAAAATAAAAATCAATTTGTATTCTAAGGAAGTTATCTTTTGTCAATCAAGCAGCAGGTAGGAGAAATGGCTAATTTAGTTTTGTATTTATATCCACAAAACCAACAACACTCAGTACAAGTAGTTAGATCAGCAACAGCAATTTGATTGTGTCCACAGCAGTATCATAATAAACATCTATATTTCGATGCAAACAATTCAGAAATTAGAACAGCCTGCTTAAGTACACATCACATTATATTAGCTGAAAAAGATTCTTCTCTTTCTGTCCTTCCCATTACCTAAATTATTTACTGTGCCCCGACATTAACTTTTAATTGTGTAAGGTTTGAAAATTGATCTAGACATAGTGGATTTGCACTCTGCTTTATAAAGTATTTCATTTCATTCTACTAGAGGCTAACTAAAAACCACGTGGAACTTTCTTTCGAAATACTTCCTTTTGTTTCTAATTTTCTCACTTTCTTACCTCCTTGATACCATATTTTTCTTCCTATTCTCACTATAAGAAGGAGTTTGGTATATGTTAGCAATGCATTAATATAGTATCACTAAAATAAGATTTTAATAGAACAACAATGTTAGGTCAATGCTCTACTTCTGAAAGCAGTGGAACTAACTCTATCCTACAATTACTTACCAAAATAATTTGTATAATCTGAGGAAGTCATGTTTAATAAATCAAAATAGGCTTATTGTCAAAGAACTACAAATTTATTTGAGCACTTGAATGGAAAACCAAAATTCTCAGGTGGTATAAATAGAAGTGAAATTGTCAACCATGATATAAGAGTTGATATGAAGCTGA